AATTATGTTAGATTTGAGGACAAGGCAGATAAAGTTTAAGTTTTGGGAATATCCATTTGTTTCTATACCAATGAGCATGTTGTTGTTTTTAATCAACAGTGACTGTTAAGTTGTACTAAATACAAGAGTAATATGTATAGTTTTAATTATCTGATTTTCCTTCTCAGATTTAATATGAGTAATGATTACATGATCAGGCAATATATCTAATACTGAACATACTTGCCTTACTATTAAAATAAACCAGGAGTACTTGTCTTTTAATGAGCTGCTAAATTTCTTAGTGATTTATTTATGACTTGTTAAGTCAAAATTCACAAATGATACTGGCTAGCTATTTTTCTGCTTTGTACAATTTTTGCAGGCTCTAGCCTCAGTGTGAAACTAATTCATTAAGAAAAACTCCATCTTGGGGCTGGGAAGGTGGCTCAGTGGTGGAGTGCTTGCCTTACATGCATGAGGCCCTCAGCACCACATAAGCAGAAAAAGCCGGAAGTGGCACTGACGCTCAAGTGGTAGAGTGCTAGCCTTCAACTGAAGAGCTGAGGGACAGCGCCCACGCCCAGCTTTCAGGCCCCACAACCGACCAAAAAAAAAGAAAAAGAAAAAAAGAAAAACTCCATCTGTTCTTTTTTTTCTTTACACTGAAAGTTTCAAGTGTTGGTTTTACCCGATAGGACACCCTACCACAACCCTCACTGTGGGATCATTTTAGGAAGAGTTTGTCCTGTAAGAGCAGAGTTGATATACTACATAAATTATAAAAGCAGTGTCAAGATTGATTATATCACTCCTATCTAATAAGAGACTACATGATATATGATATGCATATATAAGGTGTGTATGCATATATGTGTATATATATATACATGTATATATATATATATACACACACACATACATTTACAGAGAGAGAGAGAGAGAGGGAGAGAGAGAGAGAAAAGAGAGGGAAAAGAGAAGAGTATTCCAAATGTGTCTGAGTTAAATAACTGGCAGAAGAGTGTTGTACTTTACTGTGGAAGAGAAAACTATGATGACTAGTTATGTGTTTTTTAGAAGTCTGTGAATAGTATATATTTGAATTTGGACATGTTATCAGTGTGACATTTAAGTGGAGATGGACAAAGAACTGATAAACCTATGAGTTTGGGCCAGAGATGTAAATTTAGGAAACTTCAGGGAAAGCATGCCACGCATGAATCTGTTACAGGGAAGCAGAGGGTGAGACCCGAGTCCCAAAGTTCCACTAGCAGTAGAGATTTGGAAGAGGAGACTCCCAACAAATGACTGGGAGGCCATGTATAGATAGGAAGAAAAGTAGGATTTGCTGTGGTATCACAAAAATGATGTAAAATATCCTTAGAAACAAAGGTAATAAGTGATGTCACATACTGCTGAAAGGTTTAGAAGAATCCCAAGAACTATTAGATTTGGCAACATGAAGGTGACTGATGGACTTAACAAAAGTAGTTTCAGTAGTGAGCGGGAAATAAACGTTCGGAGGGGCTTCAAAAGAGACGGTGAGGAAAGGGCAGGAGACAGCAAGTCTAGACAGTTTTTTGGAGATATTTTATTATAAAGAGCAACTGAAAATGTGGTAGAAATCAGAGGAGGATGAAAGGTCAAAAGATGAAGATAAACAACATGTTTGTACAGTGACAGTTGTGATGCAATCAGGAGAGGGAGTGAGGGAAGGAGGGACTGGCAAAAAGAAAAAGAAGAAAGGAAGGAAGGGGAAAAGGAGAACGACGGAAGGAAGTTTAATATGAAGGTATAATATCAGATGATATTTAGTTAATAGAGAATAATATCCATTAAATACTATACATTTATGTTACAAAGTAAGCAGATATGAACTTTATTCTGAAGCAAATTTCTTATCAAACTACCCTGAGATGACAGTCCTAGTGACTTAAAAATTTCTGACTCTACTTCATTCATCTTGGTTCTATATATTTAAGAGATTGGGAAAAACAAAAGTTACCTTTAAACATCACTAACAATATATCCCAAGGATTTCAAAGTGCTTTCAACCAACAGCAAATATTAACCTGATTATTATTATTATTATTATTTTTGGTCAGTCATGGGGCTGGGCACTATCCCTGAGCTCTTCAGTTCAAGGTGAGTGTAATACCACTTGAGCCATAGCTCCGCTCCCGGTTTTCTGGTCGTTTATTGGAGATAAGAGTCTCACAGACTTTCCTACCTAGGCTGGCTTTGAACCATGACCCTCAGATCTCAGCCTCCTGAGTAGCTAGGATTACAGGTATGAGCTACCAGCACCTGCCTTAACCTGGATTTTTAAGTCATAAAAGTAACAAAAAAATTTGACAACCAAGGAAGTTAGGGTCAGGCAGTGATTGTGTGTTTTCAGGAGCAGAAAGGTATAGGAAGGCTAGGCGTGCAGACATGGAGCTGGAGCCTGGGTCTCACAGGGCACCTACAGGGGCCCTCAACCACTGATCTGATTGCCTTGGGGAAAAAAGAAACAGCATGTGGGCCCAAGCAGAGCTTTCTATGATCCCACTTTCTAGGTCCTGGGCTAGCAGTCCCAGTGCTACCAAATCACACAGAGACACTTAATATGAGCATGTGTCATTACTGGAATGTGCCCTGCCTCTTATATGATATAAAGGATTTGTACATGTGCGTTCACGTTTAACTGTCACCTGCTCACTTACCGCCTATATGACCCATATCTGAAGGAGGGCTGCTTGGAGGTGTGGATCCTTAGCAATTGTATTGAGAAGTAAATGGACCCACAGAGACTTCACTTCTTACAGCTGAGCAAATGAGTAAGTAGCTATGTGAGAATGTAAAAACTATGCTTTCATTTTGTTCCCCCAAAGGTCTTAGGAATTGCCACAAAAATGCAATGTATTACCAGGGAACTCTAATAAGCTCAGATAGTAACGAACTTGTGCAATCATGTTGTACCTAGAAAATACCCCCAGTAGGCCAGCTGAAGAGTTGAAGAGCTGAGGGACAGCATCCAGGCCCAGAGTTGAAGACCCATGACTGACAAAAAAATAAAATAAAATCACACACACACACACACACAGACACACACACACACAGACACACACACACACAGACACACACACAGACACACACACACAGACACACACACAGACACACACACAGACACACACACACACACACACACACACACACACACACACACACACCCTGGTCTCTGGGTCCTCTGTAAATTTTTCTTCCTCTTCTGAACTACAAGGTAACTCTGAAGTCTATCTGGATAAACCAAAATCTCACTATACAATTCACCTTCTGGTTTCCATTTTCCTTACCCACGCCAACAGAAAAAAAGAAGGCTACAAGAAGAAGTTAGTTTGAAAATAGTTACTTACCCTATCTCAAGTGTATAACTACCTTCATACATTTTACCAACAGAATTAAACTACTATATAAATGAAATATCTGTGTATGTGTGTCTGCCAGTACTGAGGCCTTGAGCTATGTTGGCTTTTTTTTTTTTTTTTTTTTTGCCCAGGCTTGCTTTGACCCACAATCCTCAGATGTTTAAAAAATATATATATATTTATTATTTTTTTGGGGGGGGTCCAGTTGTGGGGCCTGAACTCTGGACCTGGGCACTGTCCCTCAGCTCTTCAGCTCAAGCTTAGTGCTCTACTACTTGGACCACAGCGCCACTTCCAGCTTTTTTCTTTTTGCTTATGTGGTGCTGAGGAATCGAACCCAGGGCCTCAGGCATGCAAGGCAAGCGCTCTACCACTGAGCCACCTTCCCAGCCCAAGAAATATTTTTAAATAGAGAAAAAATGTTCTGTGATAAAAATTTAGGTTTCAAAGAAGAGAATGGGGAATTGTTGATCAAAGAGCATGAAGCTTCAGATAGATAGTAGGAGTAAGTTTTAAGTTTGGATATAGTGACTATAGTGAATAATTTTCTTTGTATGTCTTTTCTTTCCTTTTCCCGTTCTTCCTATTTTTCTTTGTGTGTGGTGCTAAGAATTTATTGCAGGTCCTTACTAGTGGTAGACAAGCTCTGCACTGAGCTATACCTCTAGCCTACAGATACATCTCAAAATAACTAAGGGAATTTCAATTGAAAAATGATTTTAAAAGGTTCAAAAGATGGAATAGATACACCAAGTACTTTGATATAATTGCTCTACATTGCATATGTATATTAAAACATCACACTGTATCATACAATGTATAGTTATGATTTGTTAACTTTAATATTAATTTTAAAAATTTCAGCCTAAAAAAGAATCTGGGCCCAATGTTCATTTGAAGGGCAACTATTATCTTAACAAATTGTTATAAGTTTCCAACCAATAAAGCATTTATGTATTGATTTAATGCCATTAAAAGTTTTGATTAATTAAAAATGGTTTCTAACTCAAAGCCTGTTTATCAAATTTTATTTTAATTCTAGTGTCAGTCCACATTCCTTAATAAAATGAAAATAATACTATGTAAATAAAAACCTTCATACATGTTCTTTCATATGCAAGTAGAACTGAGAAAATACATCTCCCTATGCAATTTGTGCATCATTAAAGATGAAAAGGTAACCCCAATGCACATGACATCAGTAAGTGAATTGCCCAGTGCAATAATACTAAGTAAAAGCACTGCTGACATCAGATGTATATTAACATCCTGACCACTTGTGGAAAAGTGGCTTCTGCTGCTATACTTGCGAGTCTATTATGGCTCGAATGGGTTCATCCTCTGGAAGTCCATGTGTTGGAGGCCTGGTCTTCAGTGTGGGGCTATGAGAAGGTGTGAGGTCTATAAGACACTGAAGGTCATTCCCTAATCCTTCAGGGAATCTTTTGTGGGAGCCCTAGGGAGTTCTCAGGGGAGCACTGCTACACAAGTTTCATTGGATCCTGCCAGGCCTCTCATACCTCCGGTTTTGAGGTATGACTGCCCGTTCATAGTAACTAAAATGCAGGCTTTATCATGATGTTGCCAAGTCCAGACTGAGCTTCATAGCCTTACCTTCTGATCGTTTTCTGCATCCTCATCCTGATACTCATCACCCACAGGGCTGGCACTGGCTGCGAAGGTGGGTCCCTGAGAGTAGTATTGAGAACTGCGGCAGCCATCCCGCCTCAGCTTATCACATTCTGCAGAGAGAGAGAGAGAAAGAGAGAGAGGAGGAAGGGAGGGAGGGAGAACATTAGAACTCAGAATCTGTTGACTCTAACTTTTCCAGTTACAGTTTACTAGGCAAAATAGAACTTCACAATAGATATAATTTAAAAAGTGATTTTAAAAACTTAAAGATGATCAAAGCACCTATCTACCACATTAATTCACTTTAAATAGACTATTTTCAGGGGTCACAACCCTTAAGTAGATATCATCATTAACTTTACTCTCAAGAAATTGAAAGTTAGGGTAATTAAACTGTGATGTAATGTTATACAAACTAAGCAACAGAATAGGGATTTTAACATAGTGCTTAAAGTACTGCTGCACTTTAACTTTTGACATGTAATGATTGTTATTCCACATTTAGAATAAAACAACAAACAACACACAAACAATTGCCATGCAATGCTGTCTCTCAGACGCATCCACAGGAAGATCTCATGCAAGGTCACAAATCACAATGTTCTCGTTTTATTTCGTTATCAATGTGTGTTTGTGTGTGTGTGCGCACGGTGTTGGAGATACTGACCAGGTGCTGCCATTTCTCTGGGCTACACGCCAAGCCCTCAATTTAATTTAGTTACCAAACTGCCTATAAGCACAGTGTGGAATTTCATGTGAAGCTGGTGCCAGTCTCAGAGAAGATGCCTGTCCACAGGAGATGTGTGGCACCAAGTAGAAGGTAATGGGGACACAGCAGGGGGCTGGGCCAGGGGCACACGGTCAAGGGAAACCACTGCACTGAGGACACTCATGGCCAGGTTAGAAAAATTTCTAAGGTTTTGATAGCACCAGGAGCTTGCTTATTCCCAGCCACAATGAAGGCACTTGCTTGACCAAAAGGATTTGCCACAGGGTTTCTAAAAGATCTAGCGTTCTAAAATTGCACAAAATGTGCTTGGTTTTGGACTTTTTCTCTTTCATAGTTGTATAAAACCACTTTCCTAACAGCACAGAACTAAGATGGGCCCCCTTCACAGCTCCTGCTAACCTGGACCTTGGGAGTCTGCCTCACAGGAGACAATCACTTCAGTGGAGAGATAAAAATAGCAAGCCACCAGTTTTAAAACACAGGGAATAAAAACTTCCTATTCTCTTTTGCTCTCACAGTGGGAGTAGATAGAAAAAGTTCCTAGTTCAGAGTTACAAAGCAGATTTTTTTTAATTCCCATGAAAATAGTCATGAGTGTTCATGAAAGTATCACATTAATTTAAAAAAATCTACATACAATCATAAACCAGAAAAAATTTACTTCAGTTACTTAGAGGGTAAGGAACTGTTTATCTGAGCTGCAACTACATGTAATATTGATTAAAAATAAAAATTATAAACAATTTTTGGCAGCCAGGCGCCATTATCTCATGCCTATAATCCTAGCTACCCAAGATATCTACAGATCACAGTTCAAAGCCAACCTAGACAGAAAAGTTCATGAGATTATAATCTCCAATTAATCACCAAAAGAGCTGGAAGTAGAGCTATGACAAGTAGTAGACTGCTATACTTGGGTGTAAAAAGTCAGGGACAGCACCTAGGCTGTGAGTTCAAGCCCTAGGACACACACACATACATAGACATACACACACATACACACCTCATAGCTTCACATATCACATTTTAACATAATAGAAATCAAGTTATTAACTTTCCTATAGTCCTAGAAGTATGCTAGTTCACCAAGTCTACAAAATGGAAATTCTCTGAAGGACTTGGAAAACCTCACACAAAGCAACGTAAGTTACTTGCCCATGTATGGGCACAGTGTTCTCAAATATCTGATACATAAAACAAAATGAGACAAAAGCCAGTCCTTTTTTATACTAAGTCATTTTGTTTGTGTGTGTGTTAGAACTCAGGGTCTCTCACTCTCCTTGGCTTCTTTAGTCAAGGCGGTGCTCTACCAATTGAGTCATGGCTCTATTTCTAGTTTTTTGCTGGTTAACTGGTGAAAAGAATGTCACAGACTTTTCTGTCCAGGCTAGCTTAGCAGATCTCAGCCTTTTAGTAGCTCAGATTGTAGGCATGAGCCACCAGTGCCAGCTTAAAACTAAGTCCTCTCATTATTTAAAATCATTTTTTGCCTCATTAATAAAGTCTGAAATTATAAAACAATATTCTTCAAATATTATTTTTAAATATTTGTTATATGAATTAAATAACATGTAAAATTGTGTTTGTAACAGAGATTTCTTCTCCCAGAAAATAGACTACAGTCTTTATCAACATTTCTAACGGTGACAGTAGTTCTCATATTCTGGTCAGAAAGAGCCAAGAATATTAAAAACAGCCCAAATTCATTATCATGGGTTAAATCTTACATGAGAATGTTTAAACTGCAGTATAACACAGTAGTGTAACAAAAGAAAAATATGGTGCTGGGATAAGACTAAACTACATAGTATACATTTATGGCCGATGGACAGTTTTTTTACTCCTTTCAATTTTCTAAAACCTAGTAAACGCATCATATTCCATTGTCAGTTACCCAAAATTTAGGGGAAATCTAGGAAAATTCCCTCATCGAATTCCAACAGATCTCAGTTTCTAAAACTGTGGCTTTATTCATTAAAAAACCAGTTTATTGTCTGCAAAATGAGACATGAGTGGGAACAGGCCAGCATGAATAAACAAAATTTCTTCAAACACTGCATAGGGAGGAACTATAAAGAAGCCCAATTTAAAGTCAGGTTATGCCAATAACTTTAGGCTAGAAATAAGATCCTCAATGTAATAGAAGATGTGTGTTTAACATATACTCTTCTCACAATAGAAATTTTGAATAAAACTATGTTATTGTTCTTACAGTACTACCTGGAGAAAGGTATAACTGTCTGCTGAGGCGTCTGGTTTCCTAACCACAAATTTTCCTCTCCTTCCTTTAGGGCAGTGAGGTACCAATGAATGGGCAAACATTTCTTGGTAAGCCAAAGTTTTAAATATAGAAGAAAAAGAATAAGATTATAGAACAAGATGGTCATCTAACCACTTCATGAATTTAATTTAGAAATGCTAAAAGAATCTCCTATAAGAAGCTTTCAAGTGCCGGGCACCAGTGGCTCACACCTGTAACCCTAACTACTCAGATATGAGGGATTGTGGTTCAAAGCCTGCCCTGGCAAGAAAGTCGGTGAGACTTTTGTCTCTACAATAAACAAATAGGAAACCAGAAGTGATGCTGTGGCTCAAGTGGTAGAGCACTAGCATTGAGCTGAAAAGCTCAGGGACAGCAGCCAGGCCCAGAGCTCAAGCCCCACGATCAACAATAAAAAAGTTTAAAAAAAAAAAAAAAGAAAGAGAAAGCAGCTTTTAAGAGTAATTTCCAAAAGAATTTTCTCTATAGGAAATCCTTACTGAATTTCCTTTTTATGTGATTGTTCCTATATTTACTAAGTCAGTCACAATGAGCTAGAACATACAGCTATAACAAGTTATTCTCAGTAGCAGAAAATAAATCCTTCCTTTCACATTCACTCACCTAGCCAGAGCTGAGGGGCCTTTGCTCACCTAAAAATCAGGCAGATGTATGTTCCACCTCGCCCTCAGTAATACTGTATCAGCCTCCCAAACACAAAAACATGGGTCCTTGAGTTCAAGCAGAAAGGAAAGAAAGTAGGAAGGGAGGAAAGAAGGAAGGTGAGAGGGAGGAAGGAACTGATTAACTGCTGTAAGTTGTAGAACCATATGGCCCCTAGTTGCTCTGAGGATAATAGCATGAAGATAATTCCATTGCTTATGACGGAAAAACAGCCCTCCTCCACTTCTCTCTCTAAAGTAGGGATTGTTTGATCTTATCTCCTCCAAAACTTGTGTTGAAATTTCACTGCCATTGTGACAGTAAGAGTAGATGGGATTTTTAAAAAAAAATTTTGGTCAGTCATGGGACTTGAACTTTGGGCCTGGGAGCTATCCCTCAGATCCTCAGCTCAAGGCTAGCTAGTGCTCTACCACTTGAGCCACAGCGCCCCTTCCTGCTTATGTGATGCTGAGGAATCAAACTCAGGGCCTCATGCATGCAAGGCAAGAGTAGATGGGATTTTTAAGAAATGTTTAAGTCATGGGGTTTCACCCTCACAACCAGACTGGCCCATTATCATAGGAGCAGGCACACTATGGCACTGCCCTCTCTGTATCCTTCTATCACATTATGATGCAGCAAGGAGACCTTTGTCAGATGCTGGTCCCTTGATCTTGGACTTTCAGTCTCCAGAATCAAGACCTAACAGGGATAAGAATGTGGCTTAGTGCTAGAATGCTTGTCCAGCATTCATAAAGCCCTGGGTTTGATTCCTTAGTACCAAATAAGCAGAAAAAGCCATAAGTGGCATTGTGGTTCAAATGATAGTGTTAGCCTTGAGTAAAAGAAGCTTAGGGACAGTGCCCAGGTCCTGAGTTCAAGCCCCAGGACTGGAAAAACAACAACAACAAAAAGACCCTAATAGGTTTCTGTTCATTATAAATTAAGCCAAACTGCCAAGTTCTATTATGTCCGTACAAAATAGACTAAGACAACCACACCTAACATGCAGGAAATAGCACTAGGCTTCATCTACTCAATAAATCCACTTTGATGTTGCAGTGCTCTGATATTCTTTTCTAGATTTTAAACTAGTTTTATTATAATGTTTTTCTACATCTACGTTTTCTGTAATAGCAAAAAGTATTGTATATAATACATAATTTTAAATACTTTTTTTTTTTGGTTGGTCATGGGGCCTGAACTCTGGGCCTGGGCTCTGTCCCTCAGCTCGTTAGCTCAAGGCTAGTGTTCTACCTCTTGAGTCACAGAGCACCACTTCTGGCTTTTTCTGCTTATGCGGTATTGAGGAATTGAACCCAGGGCCTCATGCATGCAAGGCAAGCACTCTACCACTGCGCCACCTTCCCAGCCCCTTAAATATTCTTAAAGAATATTGGAGGGCTGGGGATATTGCTCATTCACAGAGTATATACTTAGGTCCTAGGTCCAATCCT